CACCCCACTCTCCTAATTCCACCCCACGCTTCTATTCTACCCTACCATCCTAATTCCACCCCACACCCCTAATAACACCCCACACTTCTTATTCCACCCACACCCCTAATTCAATCCCTCACCCCTAATTCCACTCCACACCCCTAATTCCACCCCACACCCCTAACTCCATCCCTCACCCCTAATTTCACCCCTCACCCATAATTCCACCCCACACCCCTAATTCCATCCCACACTCCTAATTCCACCCGAAACTCTCTTAATTCAACCCCTCACCCCTAATTCCACCCTACACTAATAATTCCACCCGACACCTCTTATTCATCCCCTCACCTCTTATTTCAACCCTCACCCCTAATTCCATCCCACTATCCTAATTCAAGCTCACACTCCTTATTCCTTTCCACACTCCTAATTCCATCCAACACTTCTAATTCCAGCCCACACTCCTAATTCCACCCCACAATTCTTATTCAACCCCACACCCCTAAATCCATCCCACACTTCTAATTCAACCCCTCACCCCTAATTCCACGAATAAAAACCTAATTCCGTCCCACATTCCTAATTCCCCCCACCCCTTATTTCACCTCACACTTCTAATTCCACCCACGCCCCTTATTACAGCCCTCACTCCTTATTCCGCCCCACAACCCTGATTCCACCCCACACCCCTAATTCCACCCCTCACTCCTAATTCCACCCCCCACCCCTAATTCTTCCCCACCACTAATTCCACCCCTCACCGCTAATCCCACCACCCCTAATTCCATCCCACACCTCTAAGTCTATTCCACACCCGTAAGTCCATCCCACCCTACTTATTCCCATCCCCACACTTATTTTCGTACGCTCCCTCTGCATGCGGAATTAAAACGGACATGGGAGATAACTCCTATAAACAGTTGTCGTAATTGAGCAGCCACTATCAACGCGTCCCTCTCGGATATAAATCATGGACAAAATGACAGGGAGCCCTGATGGTAATGGATTTACGTCGTTCAGCACGATTTCTTCATAATGCACTTGTAAATTGAGACAAAAACGAGATTTGATTTATATGATCATAAATGGAATTCTTTCGCAACTTCTTTAAAAAATAGAAATGGAAAAATATGCGCGTGCCAGTGACAAGCACCAATGATCATTTAACAATCTGACAAAAGTGAAAATAGAAAGAGACGGAACAGAGCAGAAGGATCCTTATCGTCAAAACTTGCCTTAAACTTAGAGACAGAATTAACATTTGTGTGTTTTGATGGCAGTCTGTAATGGTTGGAGACTCTAGGTCCTCTATAAGCACTGTACCCATGATCGCAGGTTTCACTCACTCGAGCTTATGCGTTGCTTTCATCAAAGTGGTAAACGTCAGCGGCCCTTATATCTTTCAGTTTTTCTTTCGCATTTAGCAGAAAACGGCGTTGAACCCAGCTTACTCAACCATTGATGCGATACTCCAAGGTAAATACTACTGACGTACGATTTGAAGAAGGATTCCGAGATTCCGTATTTGTTTGTTTGTTGTTTAACGCCGCACTCAGCAATATTCGGCGGTCTGTAAATAATCGAGTCTGGACCAGACAACCCAGTGATTGACAATATGAGCGTCGATTTACGCAACTTAGATACGATGACATGTATCAACCAAGTCAGTGAGCCTGACCACCCGATCCCGTTAGTCACCTCGTAGTGGTTGTATTTCAGATTTAACCATCCAGATTAGCAAGTGTCCATTGTGTGAAGGTTTAATCTCGCTGTAAGGTGTATTTCAGATATCGGTCGAGTTTTATATTTGAAAATGCTTTATCTTGCGCCGACATAAGTGTAGGCATTCGCCAATCGCAGTTTCGTACCTACTGTCACTCCAGAATGAACGCTGTGGTTTTCATTGCGTCCCTTTATAACGCTGAAATGCACTGGTTTCAGAGTTTGATTTCGAAATCATTTCATTCATTGTTTTTGAGTTTTTGAGTTTGGTTCCAGTGAACAAGAAGAATAAGTTGTATATGAAGACCTTGCCATTATATTTAATTGGTATTTTACAGTATGATTAAGCACCGTGAGAGAGATATTTCGCCTATAGACGTGTACATTATAAGCAATATTACACAAATGTCCATTCCAGTGACAATCCCGTAAATCTAATAATTATATATCCTCATTAACCAACTGTTCATTTCTATTATCAGCCCCGATTGAGTATTGACAAAATATAAATATGGTACAACGTACAACATTATCAAACCATTCTTCACGTTCGGTTGACAATTAAAAGAGAATGGAGTTCTTTTCAATGTGATTACAGAATATTAAACCCGGTTCCAACATTGATATTAAATATTTTCTGCATAAATGGACTTATATTTCTTTTAATAGAAGTGATCATTCTTTAGTGTTAATTCCCGTGCAGTCTAATGGGAGATTTTACTACCCTTATGGGTTTTGTCGGTAAGTAATAGACCTTCAAAGACAAAAGATATATAGAATACACTAGGATTTGAAGTAGTGTACATTATCCACTCCTGTGTGGAAATTTGAATCTTAATGTCTACTTTTAATGAAGTCAGACGCATTAATCCATTAATATAGTTCCAATTATGTCATTGTGCTGACAAAATGGCGAGCAACATCCAAGCCAGTGTTTCAGAAGTAAAAGCCGTTTAGTGCTAACGTTATGTTTCAATATTGTTCAAACGGCTTGATATTTTACGCTTGGAAAATGTCATGTATTTTCGTCCAGTTATCGATTTGAGGAATTGATTCCGTTTAAATGTTTCGTAAGATTTCGTGTGTTGACTTTTTACAGATTACTAGTACGTGTAAATCACGTTGTCTTGACAGGACTGAACGTGGTGGCAGAGGTTTCCAGTAGTAGTAGAAGTAGAAGAAGAAGAAGTAGTAGTAGTAGTAGTAGTAGTAGTAGAAGTAGTAGCAGTAGAAGTAGTAGCAGCAGTACTAATAGTAGCAGCAGTAATATTAAAAGTAGTAGGAGTAGCTAGAAGTAGAAGCAGTAGTAGTAGTGGTAACAGCAGCTAGAAGTAGTAGTAGTTGTAGTAGTAGTAGTAGTAGCTGCTAGAAGTAGTAGAAGTAGTTGTAGTAGTAGCTAGAAGTAGTAGAAGTAGTAGCAGCAGCTAGAAGTAGTAGTAGCAGCTAGAAGTAGTAGTAGCAGCAGCTAGAAGTAGTAGTAGTAGTAGTAGTAGCAGCTAGAAGTAGTATCAGTAGTAGCATCTAGAAGTAGTAGTAGTAGTAGCAGCTAGACGTAGTAGTAGCAGTAGTAGTAGCAGCAGCTAGAAGTAGTAGCAGTAGTAGCAGCTAGAAGTAGTAGTAGTTGTATTAGCCGCTAGAAGTAGTAATAGTAGTTGTTGTAGTAGTAGTAGAAGTAGTAGCAGCAGCTAGAAGTAGTAGTAGTAGCAGGTAGAAGTAGTAGTTGTAGTAGTAGTAGTAGTAGCTGCCAGAAATAGTAATAGTACTTGTAGTAGTAGTAGAAGTAGAAGTAGCAGCTAGAAGTAGTAGTAATTGTCGTAGTAGCCGCTAGGAGTAAAAGTTGTTGTAGTAGTAGTAGTAGTAGTAGCTGCCAGAAGTAGTAAAAGTAGTTGTAGTAGTAGCAGTAGTAGCAGCTAGAAGTAGTAGCAGTTAGTAGTAGTAGCAGCTAGAAGTAGTAGTAGTAGTAGCAGCAGCAGCTGGAAGTAGTAGTAGTTGTAGTAGTAGTTGTAGTAGTAGTAGTAGTAGTAGTAGAAGCTGCTAGAAGTAGTAGTAGTAGTAGTAGCAGCTAGAAGTAGTTGTAGTAGTAGTAGTTTCAGCTAGAAGTAGTAGTTGTAGTAGTAGTAGCAGGTAGTAGTAGTAGTAGCGGCTAGAAGTAGTAGTAGTAGCAGCAGCTAGAAGTAGTAGTAGTAGTAGTAGCTAGAAGTAGCAGTAGTTGTAGAAGCAGTAGCAGCTTGAAGTAGTAGCAGTTGTAGTAGTAATAGTAGTAGTACTAATAGTAGTAGCAGCTAGAAGTAGTAATAGTAGTAGCAGCAGCTAGAAGTAGTAGTAGTAGAAGCAGCTAGAAGTAGTAGTAGTTGTAGTAGTAGTAGTAGCAGCTAGAAGTAGAAGCAGTAGTAGTAGTCGCTGCTAGAAGTAGTAGTAGCTGTAGTAGTAGTAGTAGCTGCTAGAAGTAGTATTAGTTGTAGTAGTGGACATAGTGGTAGTATAGTTATACATGTAGAAGGAGAAGTGGTAGTTTGTTTGTCTGTTGTTTAAACACCGCACTCAGCAATGTTTCAGCCACATGGCAGCCACACATGACAGCCACTGAAAGTAATCGGATCTTGGCCATACAATTCAGTGATTGACATTATGAGCATCGATCAACGCAATTGGGATACGATGACATGCAGCCAACTAAGTCACCGAGCCTAACCACCCGATCCATTTGTTTGCTCTTGCGACAAGCACAGGTTATACGGGACCCCTGTTCTCACCCAGAATCCCAACAGATTAGAACTCTTAGAAATCAGCAGTGGGCCTAGTATATAGTCGTTAGACTACACGATGTCGAAGAAGTAGCTAATAGAGGCACCATTGGCCGTAGTAGTGGTATATTATAGTATATTATTGTTGTATAATTTGAACATCTTTCGTCATGGGAGAATGAATGGTATGATTTGATTGTTTATTTGTTGTTTAACGCCGCACTCATAAAATGACGATGACATTCATCAACCAAGTCAGCGAGCCTGACCTGACTACCCGATGCCGTGTGTTGCATCTTGCGACAAGCATAGTCGCCTTTGCACGAAAAGCATTGGTTTCTAAAGACCCGTTCCTACCCGGATCTTCACGGGTCTGAATGACATGACATAGACGTTGAACTGACGTTAACCGCTGGTGTATGTAACAGAGTTTTTTTAAATTAATTAATGCATACCTCTTGACAATTTCACATCAACCATTTCCACAGTGCCACATGCGGCTCTGCAAAGCATTTTACGGCACCGCGTCGCACCGCACCCGCACCGCACCCGCACCGCATCGCACCCGCACAGCACACGCGCCCGCACCGCACCGCACCGCACCCGCACCCGCACCGCATCGTACCCGCATAGCACACGCGCCCGCACCGCACCCGCACCCGCACCGCATCGCACCCGCTCAGCACACGCGCCCGCACCGCACAGCAAAACAACACAACTGACGCACACAATCGCACAGTAAGGCGAAGCGGTAATTCAAAGAGAAAGCAAGGACAAGCAAAGGAACGTAACGCATCACGTGGCATTGTACCGCGTCACACTCCACGCACTGTAGCTCTCCACAGTGAATGTCCCGCAGTGCTCAACCACCCAAATCCACCTCTATTCCCAGGACCCTTACTCCTCATCCATTGATCTTCTATTGCCGCCACTCAACTGCTGCCTTCAGTACTGGCGCGCTACATCCTCTCCCACTCGTAAAGTAGACCTAAAAATTGACGCAAAATATGACATAATCATGTTTTCCAAGAGGAAGCATTTCGAACCCCTGTAGCACTTACAAATACTAGGCGCCAGTAATAAAGACAAGTATAGGCGTTGTCCTGTTTTCGTCAATACGATTTTTAAGATTTCCTCTGAATTCTTGCAATTTTGGGCTGAAAACTTACTCAGATCTTGTAAATGATTACCCTGTAAAATATATCTAATTTTACAACTAGTCACCGAAGTAGCAATTTAGGGGCAATTCGTGTAACAGTCTTCAAACCCATTTGGCGGTCTCAATGAGAAATCTAACTCCTGAGGAGGTAGTTATAAGACGAAAGTTTAATTGCTCTTTATATAATAGATGAGTAATTATCTAGATAAGTGCTCTGATCCTGACCGTGGGACCCCTCGTGTCTAGAAGACTTTCAGACTAAATTGACGTAAACCTCGGATGTATTTAACGAAGTCATATCTAAAATTTTGTAATTTTTGGTTATGATGTTTCGTTATGACAAACGCAGTCTACTTGGCCGTTTTACAAATGTTGCAATAATGAAGATAAGAACGTTTGGCAGTCTCACAATTGGCCAATTTTTGTTTTACGATCCCAAAAGGATTTGAATGATCACGACTGGATCTATAGTAATAATAATAATTAAATTTAGGTTTGAATGTGAAAGTTAATTTCATTTCCTGTCAATAATCTAAAAACTAACGAAGGAAAAACGATCTTCACTCGTTTTTTTTTACCCAGTTGCGGTGGAAACGTTTTTATATCCAAGTTACATTCTTAACTGTTTACCCTTCCTTCCGGGGCTCACTTTTTGAAAGTGAAGGTAGCGCTAAGACCGTCGTAATCCCCTGTAGTTTAAGCAGACTTACTGGGGGCGTAGGTCTGTCTCTCTTTTGAGCCTAATGTTGCAAACCAGATATACGACACATTAGGTATAAGATACACTCGTGAAGGTAGCGTATCCATTAGCAAATTCGTCTCTACGACATGTAAAAGCGCACGAAAAACCTCATGCTCATTAAAAGACGTGCAAACGACACAAAACTATTGGCGACCGTTTCGTGTGACGCGTCTATTCGTAACAGCCAGCATAAAAGCACCGGAAAAGATAAAAGAATGCAAGCTGATAGATCGAAACGTTTAGCAGCGGCAACCCGTGCTTTTCATGCTGTCTACCCCATTCGTGGCGTTATGGCATCGCGTGATGCTAAATTGCTTGGCACGTGCGCACGCAGCGTTTACACTCGCCGCCATCTTTGTTCCGGGCATCCATCTACTTACTCAGGAGCGACGTTGCCCATGCGGGTGATGACGTACCTGTCGCGCGCTGTCAGTGCTGTAAAGATTCTAAAATGGGTTCTCACTGCGCTTTCATTCGCGTCATAGTCCACTGATGATGATGGAAAGGGGTGATGTTGCTATGGTATTAGGTTGCACATTGTCACCATTTTGTTGAATCGAATGTTTGTTCTGATGCTGTAGCGTCAATGGCTGGTTTATGACTCGAGAATTCCACACTGCATAGGTAGAGGTGGTGGTTACGGTAGGGTTTGTCATAGACGCAGTAGCGGCTTATGTGATGGAACGGATAGAAGTAGCAGAAAACGTTGTATTAGCAGTTGGTGGGTGAATGAGTGAGTTGTGTTTTTCGCCGCTTTAAACAGTTTATGTTTTTATTTATTTGTTTGTTGTTTTACGCCGCATTCAGCTATATCCCAGCTAATCGAGTCTGGACCAGACAATCCAGTGATTGACATCATGAGCATCGATCCACGCAATTGGGATACGATTACATGCATCAACCAAGTCAGCGAGCCTGACCACCCGATCCCGTTAGTCGCCTTTTACGGCAAGCATGGGTTGCTGAAAACAGTTTCTGTTGGAGGAAAGCCGGACACGATGTATATCTCAACTTTACCATGGTACCAGTGAACACGGTTCAGTGTTGACCAACCATCAGGCACACACGTGGCATCATTGATAGTCACATCGGCTGTGTGGCATCAGCTGTCGACGGCGAAGAACTATAGGCATGCAAGTAGAAGTAGTTGTAGTGAAAAAATAGTAGCCGTTGTCGAAATAGCAACAGTAGCGATAGTAGTAACTGACGTGGTAGAAGTTGTGTGGTATTAGCAGTAGAATCAATAGCCGTAGCAGAAACAGAAGCAGTAGCGGCAGTAACAAAAGCAGTATTACCAGAAGCAGTTGTAGCAGTAATAGTGAGTGAGTGAGTTTGATTTTACGCCGCTTTTAGCATTACTGCGGCAATATCACGGCGGGGGACACCAGAAATGGGCTTCACACATTGTACCCATGTCGGGAATCGAGCCCGGGTCTTCGGCGTGACGAGCGAACGCTTTAACCACTAGGCTACCCGACCGCCCCTGTAGCAGTAATAGAAGCAGAAGCAGCAGTAACAGAAGTAGTACTAACAGAAGCAGAGTAACCAGTAACAGAAGCTATAGTAGCAGTAACAGAAGTAGCAGTAACAGAAGCAGAGTAACCAGAAACAGAAATCATAGTAGCAGTAACAGAAGCAGAAGTATCAGTTACAGAAGCAGCATTAAAAAGCAGTAATAGAAGCTGCAGTAGCAGTAAGAGAAGCAGAAGCAACAGTAACAGAAATAGTACTAACAGGAGCAGAGTAAGCTGTAACAGAAGCTATAGTAGCAGTAACAGAAGCAGAGTAAGCTGTAACAGAAGCAGAAGCAGCAGTATCAGAAAAAGTACTAACAGAAGCAGAGTAAGCTGTAACTGAAGCAGCAGTAACAGAACTAGTATTAACAGAAGCAGAGTAAGCTGTAACAGAAGGAGTAGTAGCAACAACAAAAGCAGAGTAAACTGTAACAGAAGCAGAGTAAGCTGTAACAGAAGCTATAGTAGCAGTAATAGAAGCAGAAGTAGCAGTAACAGAAATAGTACTAACAGATGCAGAGTAACCAGTAACAGAAGCTATAGCGCAGTAACAGAAGCAGAGTAACCAGTAACAGAAGCTATAGTCGCAGTAACAGAAGCAGAAGTAGAAGTCGGGACAAACGAAACATACAACCTAGGATCTGCTCACAATATAACTCTGCCTTTATTACGTACTACGTTATCCGAATCCTCGTTTATACCATCCGCTATTACACTGTGGAATACAATACATATTCAGTAATGGAATATTGAAACCGTCTTCAGATTAAAATCCAGAACAGATAAATCGACAGTTCCATCATATTTCTCATATGGTCTGAGGAAGATTAAAATAATACATACAAAATTAAGATATGATTGCAGTGAATTAAAAAAATGACTTATTTAGAAAAGGCTTAAACGAGGATCCAATATGCCGATGTGGCAGCCCATGTGAAAATTCATATCATTTATTCATTGAATGTCCTTTATTTAAATCAGCTAGAAACGAATTGATGCACTCATTATTGTTAATTGTGAAAGATACTTGTGATGTAAATATTGCCCGGATGCTTGTTGGCAATGCAAGTTTACCTAATCATGTGAACGAAAGCATTTTTAGGAATGTACATACTTATATAAAGAAAACAAAAAGGATTAAGTGAGCAATGCGAATGTACATACGCTTCTCCATGTGTTTTCTTTCCTTTCTGTCATTTAATTTATTAATTGTAAATAAGCATACATGTAAATCTATGGGAGAGGGCGTTCTTAGTTGTGATAACTTGTGTCCAATCCTTTTCATGAGAATAACATATGTTTAAACTAAACAGAAGCAGTAGTAGCAGTAACAGAAGTAGTACTAACAGAAGCAGAGTAAGATGTAACAAAAGTAGAGTAAGCTGTAACAGAAGCTAAAGTAGCAGTAACAGAAGCAGTAGTAGCAGTGACAGAAGTAGTACTAACAGAAGCAGAGTAAGATGTAACAGAAGCAGAGTTAGCTGTGGCAGAAGCTATAGTAGCAGTAACAGAAGCAGAAGTAGCAGCGACATAAGCTATAGTAGCAGTTATAGAAGCAGAAGCAGCAGAAACAGAAGCAGTACCAACAGAAGCAGAGTAAAATGTAACAGAAACAGAGTTAGCTGTAAAAGAAGCTATAGTAGCAGTAACAGAAGCAGAAGTAGCAGTGACAGAAGCTATAGTAGCAGTTATAGAAGCAGTAGTAGCAGTAACAGAAGCTATAGTAGCAGTAACAGAAGCAGTAGTAGCAGTAACAGAAGCAGTAGTAGCAGTAACAGAAGCAGTAACAGAAGCTATAGTAGCAGTAACAGAAGCTATAGTAGCAGTAACAGAAGCAGTAGTAGCAGTAACAGAAGCTATAGTAGTAGTAACAGAAGCTATAGTAGCAGTTACAGAAGCTATAGTAGCAGTAACAGAAGCTATAGTGGCAGTAACAGAAGCTACAGTAACAGTAACAGAAGCTATAGTCGCAGTAACAGAAGCTATAGTAGCAGTAACAGAAGCAGTAGTAGCAGTAACAGAAGCAGTAGTAGCAGTTATAGAAGCAGAAGCAGCAGAAACAGAAGTACTACCAACAGAAGCAGAGTAAAATGTAACAGAAGCAGAGTTAGCTGTAACAGAAGCTATAGGAGCAGTAACAGAAGCAGTAGTAGCAGTAACAGAAGCAGTAGTAGCAGTTATAGAAGCAGAAGCAGCAGAAACAGAAGTACTACCAACAGAAGCAGAGTAAAATGTTACAGAAGCAGAGTTAATGTAACAGAAGCAGAGTTAGCTGTAACATAAGCTATAGTAGCAGTAACAGAAGCAGTAGTAGCAGTAACAGAAGCAGTAGTAGCAGTTATAGAAGCAGAAGCAGCAGAAACAGAAGTACTACCAACAGAAGCAGAGTAAAATGTAACAGAAGCAGAGTTAGCTGTAACAGAAGCTATAGTAGCAGTAACAGAAGCAGTAGTAGCAGTGACAGAAGTTATAGTAGCAGTTATAGAAGCAGTAGTAGCAGTAACAGAAGCTATAGTGGCAGTAACAGAAGCTACAGTAACAGTAACAGAAGCTATAGTCGCAGTAACAGAAGCTATAGTAGCAGTAACAGAAGCTATAGTAGCAGTAACAGAAGCTATAGTAGCAGTAACAGAAGCAGTAGTAGCAGTAACAGAAACATTAGTAGCAGTTATAGAAGCAGAAGCAGCAGAAACAGAAGTACTACCAACAGAAGCAGAGTAAAATGTAACAGAAGCAGAGTTAGCTGTAACAGAAGCTATAGTAGCATTAACAGAAGCAGTAGTAGCAGTGACAGAAGCTATAGTAGCAGTTATAGAAGCAGTAGTAGCAGTTATAGAAGCAGTAGTAGCAGTAACAGAAGCTAAAGTAGCAGTACTAGAAGCAGTAGTAGCAGTAACAGAAGCAGTAGTAGCAGTAACAGAATCTATAGTAGCAGTAACAGAAGCTATAGTGGCAGTAACAGAAGCAGTAGTAGCAGTAACAGAAGCTATAGTAGCAGTAACAGAAGCATTCGTAGCAGTAACAGAAGCTATAGTAGCAGTTTTTGAAGCAGAAGCAGCAGAAACAGAAGTAGTACCAACAGAAGCAGAGTAAGATGTAACAGAAGCAGAGTTAGCTGTAACAGGAGCTATAGTAGCAGTAACAGAAGCAGAGTAAGCTGTAACAGAAATACCACAGTACATGTAGCGGTCGCGGGGGAGTGGTTGAAGTGATGGGAGATGCAGCGGGGTGGCGGGGGACACTGAAGTGAGTGGCTGGACGCCAGGAGCGCTGGTTTCAGGACTGAACTGGGGATAATATATCTGTTAGTTTTGCTGAGTAATTCGCGCAATGCACAACCGCGAGGACTTCGGTAAATTACTCGAGTAATAGCTCGGCGACTGCGCTGTGAATAGAAAACCTGTCTGGGACTGTGTATTTATGGCACAATTCTTGTCTTTTTTGACACGGCAGCATTTTGAGCAGTTTACGACCATGCCGTGTTGTTTGGCGCCTAACTCTTCATCGTCTCGCCAACCCGCGTTAAAGTTTCGTGATGGACTCTAGCACTTAGCGAAAATAGCTGTAATTAACGCATAGAATACTCTCGACCACGACAAACTATTTAATTACCCATGTTTACGGAGGGACCTGAGCAAGCGCAATATCAACGCTCCCCCCTTTAACAGATAATAGTCGCCTCTCTTTAAACCATCATTGTAGGTCTAGCAGCTCATAAGATTCTGTGTTTTTTCGATCGAGCTGACATTACCCCGAAAGTGTCTTCGTGCTTGAGGCGCACAGATTGACAGCTTTTGAAATGGATTGACAGCTAATGACAACTTTCAATCGCCTCTGCACGCATGTTGCCGGTTCTTCAGAACCAAGCACTTTCATCTCGCAATGAAATAAGAGGCGTTTTGATTCACCAGAATTGAAATAGATTTTCCTTAAACGTCTCCTAATGATGCGTTCTGGCCAAATATCAGGGTTTGGAAATGGTTTTGTGTAATTTCAGCCCAAGGTGAAAAATCTGACCTTGGGAGAAGTGTGATCTGACCTTCAAGAACCAGCTTCATGGTTGAGCAACATTTGCTACAGCGAGTTTTGTGTTCTTGAGAGCTTTGCGTTACCACACTGAGCCGACCACGCCCATGACCGTGCACATACATATCACGCTAACGCTTTCTCACAGCGCGAATACATTCGCACAGAATGCATTGTTTGGAGCAATTATATAAGCCATTTCAGTAAATCAGACAATATTAATATTATCATATGTGACAGTCACAGATGTGTTCCTTTGGTTACCTTTCACGGATTTTTAACGAACACTATTACATGTATGTTTAGTACCCGTGAAGATCCGGGATGGAATAGGTCTTCGGCAACCCATGTTACCGTAAAAGGCGACTATGCTTAATGTAAGGGGCAACTAACGGGATCGGGTGGTCAGGCTCGCTGTCTTGATTAATGCATGTCATCGTATCCCAATTGCGTGGATCGATGCTCATGACATCAGTCACTGGATTGTGTGGCCCAGACTCGATTATTTACAGACCGCCGTCATATAGCTGGAATATTGTTGAGTGAGGCGTTAAACAACAAACAAACAAACAAAAACATATATGTTTAGATACGAATTCCTTGAATGGATGTATGGGCATCAATTTACTGTGTTACAAGGCGGGGGTACCCCTGAAGACAGAACAAAATCCCGTCACGTCGTATACCAGGGTTCGATTCCCCATAACGGTACAATGTGGGGAAGCTGTGGGTGGTGGGCTGCGTTGTGAGAACATCCACAACTGTAATATTTTGGGTTGTCAAGTCAAACAGCCCAAAAACTTTGTCATTAAAAAACTAAACTGCCGGGCAAAAGAAAGTACCCCTCCATGTCTGATGGAGGCACAAGGAAAGGAAACGGACAAGAAATGATTATTCATTGGTGATGTATTTGATAAGGGTAACACAGTTGTATTCTGGACCTTAAGTTTTTCGGCGACTGTTTGTAGTAATTCCCCAGTAACAGTTATACTGTTTTCTTTCATTTATTTACTTTTAAACGATCACTGGCACCAATGGATGATTTCTAAACTTGGGGATACATAACAAAATTAAAACATTTGGCCGTCGGGTTTCTTCATTAGGTTCATGTTACGAAATATTAATAATAAGCAGATTTTGCCGCACGGAACTAATTTACAGTAACTAATTATAAGTATTATGGTTAGGGAGTAAGTGATTAAATGTTTAACACTGCAATAAGCGGTCGAGCGGTCTATACAAAAATTGAGTCTGTGTAAGGCAAAATAGACACTTAAAGCGTGATCAACGCTTCACGCAATTTGAGGCAAGATGCTTATGACACATTCAGCGAACTTATAGAGGTGAATCACTTAAATCCTTTAGTAGGCTCGTACAAACATGCCGTACTTTGGATATATTTTGTCAATGAATAAAAAAACGGGGTTATGATAAGGTATTCATCCAACACAAACAAGTTAACTTTCAATAAAACAAAGATGAAAAGATTAACTGCAGAGTTATTACTAATACTCACGTTACTAATATCGGTTTTTTAATACAATATAGTAACCATATGCAGTTGTTGGTTGGTTGGTTGGTTTGTTGTTTAACGCCGCACTCAGCTATATGACGGCGGTCTGTAAATAATCGAGTCTGGATCAGACAATCCAGTGATTGACATCATGAACATCGATCCACGCAAATGGGATACGATGACATGCATCAACCAAGTCAGCGAGCCTGACCACCCGATCCCGTTAGTCGCCTTTCACGACAAGCATAATCGCCTTTTACGTCAAGCATGGGTTGCTGAAGACCTATTCTACCCCGGATCTTGTTTCCACATTAATGTACCCAGTTGTTTCAATACTAATGTACCCCCCAAAATCGTCGCGCTTTCGAAACCAATTTAACAGAAAATGTTTCAAAATACTCTCTCCACAAGGAACTGTATTACAGGAAATGTGTCGGAAAGGGGAAAGAGAGCGTCGAGGCGGAGTGATTCGTCCTGTTTCCGTTTTGAATTGGATCTGTCCGCAGGAAAGGAGGTGAGGACGGTTTCTGGAGGAGGACCAAAATCATCATGTCAAGGAGATTGGGCCTTGTGATGTCTGGCAATTTACGGTGACAACTTGCCCGTCAGCTTTGATTATATTTCCCTCGATTACGTCCCCCAAGCTTCCAAACAACTTTGTCTGCCGTGCTGGGTAAATAGAGATCGTTACGCGATGAGGGCGCTATTTCCTATCGCGGAGTAAACAATTTGAGACTCATTTCACTCACTCCCCGTGACTTGTCACAAGAAATGGTCTTCCAATTGACTCAGGGTAATATGGAAGCCGGTGTCACGATTGAGTGACCAGACGGGGTATTAGAACAACGACTTACAGGATTCTCGGGAAACGAGAGTTGACAGTTTGTGTTTACCCCTGTCGGGGCCCGGAAGACGTGCCGGGAAGTTCGGAAACACGGAATGGAGAATAAACGTAATGGCAGAGTCCGGAGAGTAAATAAAAACGGAAAATGATCGGTGGAAAGAAAGGCTTGGTAATAACTGTTGATTTTAGCTTTAGGATGAAGGTATTATTTCTCGTTGGCAGATGATTAAATGGCTTTGGTCTATTAAGAGCATAGGGGTTTGTCGTATTACCAGTGGAACAATACCCGTTATTTCACGTAATTTCCCCGTAGGTGTTCTAAAGCGTTTTTGTTGAAATGGAAAACCTTGTTGGATCACGTTGCTTAACTAGACAATCTCAGAAACAAGTGGCAAACCATCTATTGCTCCACACAATCATGATGCAACTTCATCACGTGTCAAGTAAATTACAAAATTTAAATTGAAACCATCTGTGTGAGTTTGAATAAATTTAATGCAGCTCCATAATAGCCTTTAACGTCATCCGTAATTTTGTATACGGTATAGCCTAAGGGATAGCCATTGTAACGTATTTACGTTACATTCAGGTTTCGTTTAGAGAAAAGAATAGGAAATAGAAGTAAACATAAAATGTTATTGGTCTGCGATGAAGAATGACTAATGTAGATGTTATGCAATGTCAAAGGGGAGGGGGTTGTGGGGGGGGGAGGTTTGTCAGGGAGTACAGATGGTCCAGTCGTCTAAGGCGCCTCAGTTTGTTGAGCAAGAATTGCGTCCCTTTGGCGTGCCAGAAACCTATGACTGTGGGCTTAAATCTCGGTTCAACCTATTTATGTTTATTGTCAGTGCGGGTTTCACGGGGCGGTGGGATAGCTTTGTGGTTAAAGCGTTCGGTGGTGACGCAGAAGACCCGGTTTCGATTCCCCACAAGGGTAAATATGTTAAGCTCATTTCTTGTGTTCCCCGTCGTCATATTGCTGGAGCACTGCTACACGCCGCGTAAAACCATACTCACTCACTCATAAGTAAAAGGTGATTCTTCCGAATCAAGCTGACACTCCGTGATATAACTAAAATAATGTTTGAAGCTGCGTTCTACCAAACTCTCTTTCCTTCATTCACTCAGACCGGCAACAATAATGACCGACAGAAACGCGATACACAGCGTAGTATTCATTCTGATAATTGAGCGTCGACTTCCGGTTCGGATGAGCGTTTCAAGTCGGGCGTTATGTCAGGTAATTTGACTAGTATACTAGCCATACTTTCTGGATAACTGGTGTAAATAGGAAACCTGTGAAGATCCGGGGTAGAATAGGTCTTCAGCAATCCATGCTTGCCGTAAAAGGCGATTATGATGTCGTAAGAGGCGACTATCGGGATCGGGTGGTCAGGCTCGCTGACTTGGTTGATGCATGTCATCGATCCCAATTGTATATGATCGATGCTCATGACATCCATCACTGGATTGTGTGGTCCAGATTCGAATTTTTACAGACCGCCATCATATAGCTAGAATATTGCTGAGTACGGCTTTGAACAAAAACGAAGCAAAACCAATTGGACCGTCTCACTCAGTTTAACCATATCACATGTCTAAAGCTTGCAAATCAAGAAAGAGAAAAGGCAGCTAGTTTTCCTCCATTGCACATTCCCAATTTAAATGAATAGATTTTCACTGGGCCTTTATCCTACTTCAACATTCAGAAAAGGATGAGTTTCGGAAATAGTTTGTACCTTCTTTTTTCATGAACTTATATGTTTTACAGACGTCATGACGACATGGCGTTACCAAACGAAGCGTGAATCACCAATTTAACATGTTAATGTCATTTGCAAACAACAGCTCGTACATGTAGTTTGGCTGATAGACAATATACATTTCCGTCAGGTTGATTGATTGATTGATTGATATAGACAACGTCTGTGATGTAACTCACAAATCAAATTTTAGCATACTCTTTTCAGTCGTGGCACGTCCTGGCACGTGGTCCTGGCACGGCGCAAAGGTCACACATCAGGTGAAGGTAAGCAACGTCTTTGGATGGGTGGCCGCAGTCCGCAGCTTGGAATTCCACGAATGGTTTGTTGATTAACAGACACAACATTGGAACACAAACATTACCCCGCTTCAGCAATATTTCAGCAATATTCCAGCAATATCACGGCGGTGGACACCAGAAATCAACTTCACGAGCGAATGCTTTAACCACTCGGCACACCTTAACCTCCGCGAGGAGTCTAGTTGTAACTGTTCGCCAATCACACCAAAATCTCGCGTTCGATTCCCTGTATGGATGTATTATCATGAAACTCCAAACCAATCATTCCCGTGACATGAGTTGTGTAATCATCAATTTGTAATCAAGATGAAAGCATCAACTGTGGTTCCTTTGACTCTTTCTAATCGAGTCCTTTTTTCTAAATTTCGCAAGGAAATGAATAATAATGTGTTAATGCCTAGTCCCTGTCAGGATGTCGAGGTTGGAATGTCACCCCACTGTCCCCAGCTTGTGAAAGGGGGATTCTGATAATCGACTGGTTACATTGTGTGATTTGGTTTATTGTTTGTCGTTGTATTTTTTATTGACGATGATCTTTGCCCATGCTTAGATGCAATTTCAGCTGATCCTTCCAGCTAGGGTAAGCAACTCTGTTCAGTGTTTAAGC